TCATGGAGATGTAAAATGGCTGTGTGCCTTTTACAGCTGCATATTGGTTTAATGGAAAAATAAAGTGAAGACTTTTGTGTTATGTAGCTTCTCATTCAGGAATAATGTATCTATCACCTGTTTTTGTATTCTGGAATGACACTGCAAAACCTTTTCTCCCCTGCCTGAGGGAAATGCAGTTTCATATGATTCAAAGTTTACTTTAAAAATAATGGTACTTTCCCTAGAATTTTTGACTAATTCAGAGGATTGTGATCCATGAGAACTGAAATTCAAATATCCAATGGACTGTTCTGTAGTTGGAAATGAGCAGGACCTGTGTTAAAACAGGAGAACAAAATTGTGGCACTGAATACAGTTTCAGTGTTGAAGAAAAAGGAGCTAGAAATAGATCTGAAGGTATTCAAATGTGCTACTGGTTAATGTTCCAGCCTTTAAACAAAATCTAGTGGTGTAGGAGCTACCAAGGAAAGTCAGACCAGTCTGGTGTAGATAATCCATGAGCTGGTCTCTCTTGAGGCTAATGCTTTATGCTTCAGAAGAGGGTACAGAAGAACCCCACAGCTGTAGAGAAAGGTTTTGATGAGGGGCTCTTTCTTTGTGGACAAGGGATGGAATAGGGAGCCAAGCATTGCAGGCAGGTTTGAATTTTCAATTTGAGTATGCAAAATTCTGGAAGAGCATTCAAACCGATATAAATAAAATTAGAAAAAAAAGAAAAAAAACCCCAAACCAAACCAAACAAAAAGCCCCTCAATATAATCTTATTATCTCAAGCTTTTGAAAGCAATTAGGATAAAACAGAATTCTTGAATACTAATAATGTTTTCATACTGCTTTGCAGCTATTCCCTGTGTTGTGGGGGAGTGGAGCCATTGGAGTGGCTGTGCAGAACAATGTCATCCTGGGCTGCGGATCCGTAGGCGCTACGTACAACAGGAACCTAAGAATGGTGGGGAACCATGTCCAGCTCTGGAGGAGAAGGCTGGCTGCCTGGAATACCTGACTTACCAGGGGGAGGACTGCGGCCATGAACATGGTACTCTCCATTTCATCTCTCTGCTGTATATTGTATCCATCACGGCCATCATAAATTTTACTGATGTCAATGAACAGCAATAAACCAAGCATCTATCTGCAATTATCTGGTTAAAATTTTAATTTAGAACTTTACTTTCTACTGTCATACTACTTTTTATTCAATAATTTGTTTTCCTACTCTGGCTGCTTTAATTTTCTGTTAAGCAAACAACTAAGCTGCGTGCATTCCTTCAGTTAGATGCAAGTATCAAATTATCTCTGTGCGAAGTTAAAACACAAATTCAGTATGAAACTGGAAACAGTACTCCTTGTGGGATTCCAGTACATCCTATTTCCTCACTGTCTAGATGGCATGCATTATTTTTGTTCTGAATAAGGAGAGAGCTTAGCTGTAGGGAATGGGGTTGAGGTCCAATGTTGCCAAACATTTTATCACTTTTTCAATAAAGTCATTCACCCACTGTTAGAGTAATTGAAATATGACTCAGCTGTGCCTTGCTGTTTTACCATAACTGTTTTTTTCCCTCAGTCCCTGCTTTCATAACTACCTCTGAATACGGTAAAGAAAGAAAAAGACAAGCAGCTTCTTCTCTCTGGCCTTCAGACAAAGAAGCAGCAGGGTAATCTATTTATCATATGTATGTGGGTCATCTTGTTCAGTAGAAAACAGCTGTCTACAGAGAAAGATGTAATTAAAATTTCAAAAATTAAACAATAAGCTATAGCTTGTACTGGTTTTCTCTCCCGCAGTTTATTTGCATATTCTAGATATTGTTTATTACTTACTAATTGTCCTGAATTAGACATTGGAATCATGGCAAATCTGATGATAGCTGCTTTTGAAAGCCAGCAGTAAACAATGCTAAAACAAAGCTGAATGTAAGTGTAAGTCTGAGAAATTAGATATAGGTCTCTGAACAACGTGGGCTGAATGGGATTGGTGTCAAGAGACCTTTTTTTTTAAGCTATTTGACACAAGCGGTAAGAAATTTTGTTTAGTTACCAGTAGAGATGGTAATGAAGTTTAAATTAGGCTATTAGTGGGTCTGTAATGCTCATAATGCTTTGTCCTGTCCTATTTTCCCTAGAACAATAAAACTCATTGACAGTCTTAAAGACTCTTTCCCATTTTCTTTCAGCAGCATAGAAGAAAAAAATATGGGTTACTGAGATCTGGTTTTCAAAATAATGTAATACAGAACACTACCAGAAAGTGAGATTATACATAAAACACTGGACTGTGGCATAGTATGAAAAATAGTTTACATAACATTTTTAAGAATCCACTGATTGGGTTAGGGTCAGAAAGATTTGTTAGCAATGATGATGTCTAACTTCCATTTCATAAACAGCACGCTTACGATATGTAAGTCCATTCAAAGTGCCTACTTAGCTCGTTCTTTATCACTCATAATTTGGTTCTTTTCCTTCTGAGCAGATACTGCGTGGAGTTCAGGACAGAATCCCTTTCCCAGCAGTGTGCTCTGGAGACGCGGCCGTACGCGCGCTGGATGCAGTACCTGCGCGAGGGACACACCGTGTGCGTCGCCTGCCAGCCCCCGGCCATGAGCACGGCCACGCAGCGCTGCGCCGGCGACGGCCACAACGCACACGGGTAAACCAAACGCAGCACAGGAGTCCATACTTCCCAAAATCTCGCTAAAAGCTGCATTTATTGTACCTAAAAACTGGAACAGCTCAGAAGGTTTTATCCTTTCACTTCACACAGAAATTGCTTTTAAAACCTAGATAAAATTGGGAAGTCATTTCAATATAAGAGCTTAATGCTTTATTCACTATTGTTAAGAAGTGATGGAATTTGTATAGTGGAAGAGGACTTTTTACAGCTATGGGCACTTTTACTTAAAAAGGGTATTTCCTGCCATAGTCCAAATCTGATTGCAGATTTAACCGTGGTGGATTGGTACTCCCCTCAAGCATATATACCTGTTTTTTAGAAAATTAATTGTGAAAGTAGATATGTATTATTCAGAACTGATTTTTATTTGATTCATGCATTTATTAACATGCATACTACTTAATACCTGCACAACTAGCTACTCAACCCACCATGCTGGATATTCCACTTAGGAATATAATGTCTGCTCCGGAAAGAATTTTAAGAGCTTGATGTGCTTAATAAAGTCTTATATGATTAAACAAATCCAATCTTCTGACATTTTATACAACACAATCCAGTAATACTAAATACATAGCTTTTACTCTTCTAATTTCATATTTATTGTCTCATTTCAGAGATAAAATCTTACACTGGGAAGCAATTGGCAACTCTCAGTGCCAAGGAACCTGGAAGAAGATCCGGCAACTGGAACACTGTTCCTGTCCCCTGGTGCATAGTTTTATTTTTACATAAAAGTTTAAAAGACCTTTAAAATTGCAATAAAAACACTAAGAAAATTAACACCAATGCCAAGAAACCCATATATTTCTGCTGCATTTTCTGGAGCCTTAACAAATTTTAAAGGAGTCAGGACTTTGGCAGAATTATTTCAGGAAATGGTCTCTGCCGTAATACAAAATGCGAAGACTGGATCTCTGTATTAGAACACTAGAAGCATGTTACCCTGTTTCTCTTTTGTAATTAAAATGCTAATGTTTCTAACCACAAAAGTTGCTTTCCATCTTTACTGGCCATAGTCCTGTCTACAGGCACTGCTCCTACTCAGTAGTGAGCCAGCCAAATATTTTCAAGTCTGACAATAGTTACTGTCAACATATAAGAGGAAGGGTGAATAAAAATTAAGTTTTTGAAAGCTAAAACTGATTTCAGTTTAGGTATTTTGTTCCTCTCCAGTATCATCTAGACAATTTTTTACACTTTAACTATGTAAGTATTCTTCCTCTATACTGCAGTTTTCATGTTCAGCCACCTTCATGAAGACATATACCTAGTCAGCATTATTAAAGAATTAGTCTCCTCAGAACTTTGTAATACATAGTGTAACTTTTCTGGCAGATGAACCTAGACCAGACTTTGTGACTAAGGCCTTGGCTAAGAGTAAAAAAAAATTACTTATTATTAATTAAAAATGCTCATCTACAATGATTAGCACAGGAACCTGCAACATCTGAGCACTGACAAGACTGCTACAAAGGTTGAGAAAATTTCCTTTTAAGACAGGCAGCATTTGCATGCAACATGAAGACTTCCTGGAAGAACCCAGAGTCTCTTAGCAAGAATGAGAAAGGTGATCTGCTTGAGGTTCTGTCTACAATAAGGTGTTGTAAATCAAACTTTGAATTGCATTTTACCATTTTATTGTAATGAAAGCAGGCCTCCAAAACAGAAAGCAGAGATTATTTTAATACTTTCCAAACATTTCAGACTTCATAACTATATGTTTTCCTTTTTAATGGGGAAAATTATCTCAGAGAGCTTTGTTTCAATATGACCAATTCAGACAGGTGCTTTTTCTTATCATGCTCTTGGAAAATGAAAAAAAACCAAAACCTTACCCAAGAAAAAAAGGTACAGAAAATATCCGAATTGAAGGGATTTCACTTTAAAAAGAATGATGAGCTATTATGTTAGTTCAAGTCACTTGATTCACACCAGTATGACAGCAGAAAGCATGAGTTTTCTGAGATTGTGGAAATCTCTTCCAAATTATCTGAATCCAGAGATACAGGCTAATGCTATCATCCATCTGTTAGAGTCTCCCAGGAGCAGGAGAATTGCAGTGGCCAGCAGAGACCTTGATAGTGACCCCCATTAAAAAGTATATTTGCTGTCACTGACAGAGTAGACTCATTATTGAGCCACACTTTGGCCATGTGTTTTTGAGCTTTCCCTTTCCTGCTGCTCTGGAAGAAGTCACTTGTCAAGACAAGGTAGGTGGCACAAGCTAACCAAGAGATGCTAAGTGCTAGTATAATAGTGTTCCTTTCCATGTAAAAAATTAACCAGTCCCTTCGTTACTTACAAATACAACATTATATGAATTTACACCTTTTTAACTGCAGAAAAAAACCCAACAAACCATCATCTCATAAAATTAACAATACTAATACATACATAGTTTTCAGTATAACTTACAAAGATGACAAGTCTGATCTAAATTTCAAAGTAAAGCAAAACAAATTAGAATGGACTTTATAGCAGGAAGTAAAAATATGAAAAGGTCAATCTAAAAAGACATATAGCCCATTAAAAATACAGAACACTTGACTTTTTATTAGCCTCCATCAAACTAAAGATCTAATACCCCTATTTACATGATAGACATTTCTTAAATCACTGCAAACACTTTTACATTTCAGAATCTAGGTGATCTGTTACTGCATACAGCAAAAAAGGCCAGACTCTACATTTAAGTTACCATTACCAGAGCAAGTGAGCTTACACAAATGTTTTATACCTATTACTATTCTGTTGCATGTTTTAGGACAGCAACACTGCTGGACACTCTGAGACTAAAATAAGATGTTATTCTGAAAAGCTAGAGTAGGTCCTCATTTAGGGAAAAGTCAAGAAGAGTTGGTTCCTGCAGTCCAAATCAGCTTTGTTTGATCTTGCTCAGTGTCCTCCACCGGTCTTTCAACATGACACTTGTTCGGTTGTTGAAGTTACCATGGGCTAAAATTTTAGCCCAGTTACCCACTCCAAACTGCCTTACTCCCGATTTCAGCTCCAAGTCTTCTTTGTGAGTCCATAGCTAGGGCAAGAAAAATACCAGATATATGAACAGCGAAAGGCATTAATCTAAGAGCTTATAGGAAATATAAAAGCAATTTTACAGGCAGCTCTCTAGTTGTTACAGATGTCAGAGGGTTTTTTTTTGAGCACCTTATCTTGAAACTAGAGATAAATAAATGATAAATTTGTAACTGAACCTGTAGAGCTTTATGGGGCCTCCCAAAGGGGACCTGTGTAATAAAGCCTTGGGTTAATTGGAGTAACTGGATTGGAACTAAAAAATGTTTATAGAACATTACAAGAGCCATAAGAATGGTAAATGGCTGAATCTGAAGGCCTAAAATTTATAGCTTGGTGGAAGAAAGGTTGGTTTCCCAGAGTATGTATAAAACCTCCATGTGTAAGTAACAGATTGCTTCCAGCTATCAAATGGATAAATAGTGTTGGCTATAAAGCAGAAGAAAACATTAGAGAATCATACTATGGCTCACCTTTACAACTGAAACCTTCAAAATTGTAAAGAACTGAGCAAAAGGGAAATGCAGGTGCAAAGGAATAGCCTCAACTTAAACCAGACTAGCAGATCTGATAAGTGCAAGGAAATGCGAATTACATCACTTAACTCCAAAAATAATGTACCCAATGGAAATGTAAATCTTATGGCTGCTGTCATTACACAAATGCATACCCTCCTGCTTGTGCACAAGGGAGGATGAGCAGCAGGAACACCCAGCCAACATGACTGTCAGTGGCACAAGAACCCACATCCGTGGAAATAGGAAGAAAAAATAAATTTATTTCTTAATGACCTGGAATCCTTCTGGGATCTTTAAAACCTCTTGTAAGCATAATCAGTATAGTCTCCGGCCACATGACAATTTTGAGTGTTATTCTGCATGGTTCCAACCTTCTGTTAAATTTATACTTCTAAAAATTGCAGCAGGGCTCAGACATGAAATACAAGGGGGAGTAACATTCAGCACTGTAGCAGATCAAAACTGTATCCTGGTTATTCTCCAAAAAGGGAAAATGTGGCATCTAAACAAAGTGCAAGCTGAGGTGTGTAAAGACTAAACTTCACATCTCAAAGCTGTATTTATTCCAGCTTAATGCAAGTATTAGGGCCTCTTCAGTAAATTCTGATCACTGACAAACCTCACTAGGCAGTGAAAGAATTACAAGTAATAGTAGTTCAACTGTATTTTTTAAACAGTTAAGAACATAAAACTTCTCTAAAGTAGTTTACCTTTTATCAAAAATACCTCCTTTTCCTAATTCTTCCTGTTCTACAGATCTTTTACAACATTAGTAGTAACAGCCTTTTTCTCTACTATTATTAAAAGACCAGAGATTCCATTGGAATCATGTAGTTCATCTCATTTCAGAGCATGTCAGAAAACTTTACTAACTAAAATCTTTATTCAAGTAACACAGTTATGCTTGACCTACAGCACCAGATAATTCAAATACTTTCATCAAAAGAGACAATCACAACACTTGTTACTTGCAATGATTAATTACATTTGCTGTTAAACGGTTGTTTTTAGCTTGTTTTGATTTTTAATTTCTTACATGAGCTTTTTTTTAAAAAATAAATTTCTTCCACTATAGTATAAATGAGGGTCTGCTTCACAGGTAAATCAGGGACTGACTCATTTTCTTTTCACTGAGAAACAGAACAGAGCAATAACTTGTCCCCTGCCCCACTCAATGAAAAGCTCTCTGTCCCCTCTGGGCCAGAATTTATCTAGATTCCAGCTTTGCACTGCTACAAGACTGGTAGAAAGCCTGGACATAATGCAGCACTATGCTTGAGCTCACATCAGCACAGTGCCTGGTCCACAGCAACGTGACATCTGGCCAGCCCTGAGCACCAGCAGAGAAAGCTTGAGTTTGCCAGGCAGAATGTGAAGACATTCCCTCACAAATCTGAGGATATTGTTACTCCTTTGAGTCAGTTCTGCTCTAGTAACCTGTTTTCCTTTATGCATTATTGGACTCTGCTCTGAGTTTTCTCCTTCAATTTTAAATATACAGATTTTTTTTCCATACAAGTCTGACAAAATTCTGAACACTCAGATTTTCAGACACATTGTTTAAGTTAAATCAAGTATCATCCATATTTTAGACAACTCAAAGGACTTGCCATTTAATTACTGGATATAAAATTGAGTACAAACAGTTCCCTAAATTCTGTGACACTTGCATCCCCTAATTTAGGAATGAGAAAATAAAGTATGTGTCCTTTCAATAGCACTCCAGATTGTTCTATGCAGCTAACTGAAAACACTGAAAGGCTGAAAATGGGCACTGAACCATTGCAATGAAATGCCATTTACAAAACAAGAGCAAACAATGCCAACATTGAATGAGGGACTACATGGAAAAGGAAGTTCTAGAAGTCAACAGCTCTGACATTCATTGCATTCTTTCATGCATGTGGACAATTTTATAACCCAGATGATAAAGCAGAGGAGCAGATTTATTGTTTAAAAGGCCAATTATCAATGCTTTCTATAAAACAGTGGTAGGGAGTAAGGCATAAATATAACAGAGGGAGCAGATGCCTACAACTTTTCTAAGTGCTGAAAGAAACAGAGTTATGAATCTTACGTTTAAGTTATTTTAAAATTTTCAGTGCCCCTGTCAGATGCAGTTCTCTATAATTTAGTCTTTATATTTCAATTGAGGTTGAACTATAACAACGTAATTAAGCAAACAACTCCTATTTTTTTCTAACAAGATATGTGTATAAGCCCTAGACCTAGACACATGCTTGTAGGTGACCCCATAACAGACTAGCTCAGCATAAAAATATATGACTACAAAGCTTTCATTAGCTCTGTGTCATTGTGGTCCAAATAGTTTAATTCTTGATGTTGAAAGCAAGCTTGATCGAAGTGTTCATGCTTACCAGCAACTGCCTAACAAGGTACCTATCCAAGTATATGCTGGAATAAAGTAAATTTGTCTTTAAAGGCAAAAAACAAATCCAGTAAGTGCTGTCTTTTTTTTCTCCCCCTTAGGGCACTGGTTTTATCTTCAGCTTTTAAAGAGATTGTCAGTGATCTAACTATTCCTGAGATCTGTGAGAAACTGAAAAACTCTTTATAGGGGCTTAAACTTCAAGAATGAGATCTCATTAGGACTTCAACCCATTTGAGGACAGCATCTAACTGAAAGATTTAATCAGTACATCAACTTCAGTAAAAATGCTTAAAGATATAGCTCTAGAGAAAAACAAAAAAGCAGATTTGGTCTTCCCTGTTATGTGAAAAATGAAATATCAAAGTGAACACCAGAAAAACAAAACAGCTCACATCAAAATGGATATATGATGACAACTTGTACTATTATCTAAACTGAAAGACTCCATATTGCTTCCTAAGAGATATCATAAAGAAGAATCCAACAATGTCAATATACTTATTTAATGTTAAATAATGTTATTTAATTTAATGTTAATTTCTTCAGTTATCATGATAAAATACCAAACACTTATGAAGGATTTGCTATAATCAAAAATTAGCTTGAAAGTCCCCAACATCAAATCAACTTCAAATTGCATTCTATTAAGGCATACACTTCTGCATGTTCCACCAATGGGAATGCCAGCATTAGTGAACACAGTAGGGTTATTTTAATGTAGCCCTACAATGAAGTAGGCTTACTCATGAAGAATGCACAAAGGACCATTTGAAATGTAGCATTACAAGAAGACCCTACCATTTGGTTTATAAAAACTAGAGTAGCTTCCCAAGTAAATATGTTTTTATATCACAAAAGTATTGAATTATAAAATTGCTAAATCTTTAACCTTCTAAGCTGAAAAATGAGTTGCCCCTGATACTTGCCCAAAATTCTCACAGGTAAATGGCATCCTGAATTCTTTAATCCAAACTGTGGAAAGAATTTTTTATTTCACAGTAAGCTTTGTTAATGGTGTATTTCAACAAATAAAAGCCTTGGAAGCTTTAGCAACAACACTTGAGACAGTAAAAATACATTCTATTTCCTGTCTTTAAAAAGAAAGGGACTGTAACAATTTCAGGAACTGTAGCACTTGAGTAATTTACATAATCTTAAATCTGAGCAATAGATTTAAAAATTAAAGTTGAGAAAAAAATTCTGTGCATGCAGATTCATTTTATCTCCATTTAGAAGAGAGAATAGGTACAAACCTGTCTTTTTCGGCTACATGCCAAAGAAACTCCATTTTTTCCCACATTTTGCAAGTCGTTAAGACCTAGAAGACAGTTAATATAAATCCAAAACAATGAGGAGTCTACATCAAGGCAGCAGTTTTACCATTTACACCTGACAAGAATGTACATTATTTTGAATGCACTATGTACACTATAGGATGGGAAATAACAACCAATCAGAGCTATGATTCTTTGTACACAAACGCCATAATTTCTAAATACATGTATCAGGTTTAACTGTGGCAAGCATTCAAGGCATCTTAAGAGTTTAAGAATTTGTCCTTCCATGTACAACATGGCCATGTGCAGGAGCCATAACACATCTCGCTGTAGTAAGAGGGTGCTAATGGTCTTAAGAACTTACTTATAACTATTATATTATCTGTGTTAGGTTTTTAAGAAGTAATACCAGGAAATCACACAAACATCCTGACTTCATACATTTTACAGTACAATTTGTTTTTCCAATCACCTAACTTCTTTAGGTCCTTCCCAATCAAGTTTTCTAGAAACAGAATTCAGATAGAAATGAATTTCAGTACTCCTCTGTCCACTTTATTTTGCACAGAATACCATAAGTCCTGTAAACCAACCAAGCAAACCAGAAAATAGTGAATGACTTTGCAAATTAATTGCTAGAGAACTCTAAGCCATTTCACTGCTTCCTAAATATGGCAATCGCCTAGTTTGCATTTGTACAGAAACCATACACAACTTGGAGTGCTTTTATCCACCACAACCATTTCTGCCTCAATCAAATAACATTGGATAGCAGTTAGAAATAAGTGCCTGACATGACTCTTTTGAAATTGTAAAAATAAACTAATACTCACTCCGAAGAGCTCTGCTCTCTTTGGGCTTCCGTCCTGAATGTCTCCTGCAAAGAACACAAATCTGAAGTAAAAATTTCCTTTGATGAAAAGTCAGTGACCAGAGCAATAACAACATTTTTTAACTTGCTATGGTTTTTTTTATGCTTACAGATGACTGACTTGTGATACACTGTTTCTCTTTCATCAATCTTAAAAAGAAAAGACAAAAAAATTATTTCCTATGCAGCAACTTGTCATTTATATGATTCAACAATATTTAAATGAAAGAAGACTTTCTTCATTCTTCATCTAAGACTTCTCTATAGCAGCAGTGGCATACAATCACTAGCTGCATCAATGCAATCACCCTCTTAACCTTGCCTCCCTATACCTGGAGGAGAAATACAGAATCTGCCGAGTTAGAAGCGACCCACAAGGATCACTGAGTTAATCTTTTAGCCCTCTACAGACATCCCCAGGAGTCACATCATGTACTTGAGACCACTGTGCAAATGCTTCTTGAACTCTGTCAGGTTTGGTAATGTGACCACTTCTTTGGGTAGCCTGTTCCCAAGATATTTAAAGAGGCATTTTGCACTTCTATTTTTTCATTAGAAATTATTTCCATAGGTTTTTTTTGAACAAGTCTTTCATCATATCTCTCAGATGTGTCAGAAGCTGCCCTTCTAAAAAAGCAGATTTAAAAAAATCTTATGACTTGTCCTCCTCTATGCTGACTGCATCAGCATTTTCTTAACTAAGTGATACCAAGTATTCCAAGTACAAAAATGAAGAAATAAAGATTCTATCCCAGCTAAAGCTAGCAACTTATTCTCCCTGAATAAATGGTGATAAACCTAGAACATTAACATTTCCCAAAATAATCATATAATGGTTCTGAAGGCTTGCACTGTCAAAATCATGAAGCAACATAACTATTTTCCTTCACACTGGTATCATTAAGGGATCACTGTAAGAAAAATGTAAAACTGATTCAATTTCCTTATTCTTTTTCTTCTTCAGATGACCAATAGTCTGAAATTAGAACTAAAAGGAGTCCAATCAAGAAATACAAAAACAAAGTCTTTTTTGTGCTTATATTATTATAGACTGACAGCTGTTTAAACTGCAAATTGTCCAGCCTCACAAATAATTAAACTTAATGGCAAGCTTTTTCATGTAAATGCCAAAAGTAACAACCACAGAAGAGCACAAATTTAAAGAAAACAGGGAATGTGCTTGTAGCTAATTTTCTATTGGACAGCAGTTTGGAATTTAACTTTCCCCCCTTTTACCTACTCTTTGATCTACAAGTTTCATGTTACTATCAAAGCACATCCTTTAGCAGTATAACACTTAATACAAACCTTTGTTTTGTTTCCAAATCATTTTTGTCATTTTCATTGACTTCCACAGGTCTGTTTTGCAATGTTGCTCTCAACCCTTTAGATGTCACATGTTTTGTGGCTTCCTGTGAGAAATGTAATTGATAGTTTAAAATTAAAGCCAGACAGTACATATATAGGAGTTTGCACTAAGATTAATATGCATACTTTTTATTAGAACTAGCAGTGCTTATTTGATAGACATTTCAGAGGTATTAACATTAAAGTAGTTTCAAAACAACTTTAGCATGTTAAGTTGAAATCCATAAAGATCTTTATAAACTAGGAAAAATTTTAGTCATAGCTGCAATTGATTTTTTTATGGACACAAAGAAATGCAACAAATAGTCGCAAAATGAGTGAACTTAAAAATGTGTTAAGTAAATTACAGAACTTAACTAAGACTGCAAATATTACCAAAGTACTCCAAAGCCTGGATTTATAACTAGGTTAGAAACTAAAACTGATAGGTGTCAAGTTTATCTAGTTCTGTAGCACATGGCAGGACAAAGCATACATGTAACATGTTCAAAAGACATTTCTAAGCAGACCTTAGGCTTGCAATATAAGCTTTTTTTGCACTGGCAAAAAATATTTCTCACATCCTGCTCAAACTTTTAGCCACAAAATAAGATTATTTCTCCTCCATTGACAAGAGAAGGCAGTAGCAATTCATTACTCCTTATAGAGTACCTAAAAGGGGCCTCCTACACTGAATAAAGATGGGACAAACTTCTTACCAGGGCCTGTAGAGGTAGGACAAGAGTTAATGGTTTTAAACTAAAAGAGGGTAGATTTGGACTAGATATAAGGAAGTATTCTGTTTTGTTTATGATGAGAGTGGCAAAACATGGAACATGCTGCTCAGCAAGTTGGTTGATCCCTGAAAACCTTCAAGGCCAGGTTGAATGGGACTCTAAACAGCCTGATCTAATTAAAGATGTCCCTGCTTATTGCAAGCGAGTTGGACTAAATGACCTTTAAAGATTCCTTTCAATCCAAACTATTCTATGATTATACTTTTACATCTGGCACTAGAAGAAAGAGAAATTAGCAGTTAAAGCTAGAATGTTCTTCTGCAGAGAAGAACTGGGAAACCTGTGTGCTGCACAGAAGGGGGAATTCCTCACAAAGCTGTCTCCTCCATGTGCCAGAATAACTCTGCTCAAAGTAAGATTTGCAATGTGGGTACAGACAATAGGACAAATAGGATGGACAAATGCCTGCAGTGGGGATGAAAGCAGTGAGGGCCTTAGGCATGTTAGTATGGAATTATGGGCCTTCTCTGACACCTCCAAGCCTCCGCTTTCTCCTACACTCAAGAGCCTTGAAAAATAAACTTGAAAACTGACATTCAAGTGAAACCATTAAAAGGTATTCCTTGTATTATACTTTGAGTGTATTTAATAAGTTGCCCAGTCTCTCTGATAAGAAAATGAAAAACACAGAGGAACTTCAGGATTGTTTATTTAAAATTTGCTTCTTATTACCTTTAGACGTCTGTGCTTTTGTAATTGAATAATTCAATATTCTTTTATATGAAGTAAACATAAGAGAAATTCTTTACAATCCTCCTGAAGATGAAATGAAGAAGGAATGTTGTTCTTGCCAATTTTAAATCACTTTTGAGTAAGACTGTTTGTAAGAAACATTTGTATTTACAGGAAAACAGCAATAATAGTTTTCTATCTCCTAACTCCCCTGACATTCCTAAAGCTTTTATTCAAATTAACAGGTCTTAATTTTTTATTTTTAGTAGGGGAAGTCATGTAAGCTTAAATAAAATAATCAGTAAATATAAAGCTACATTTTATATCAGAACTGCATTTCTTAAACAGATCTTGTTAAAACAAGATTATTATCCTATTAACACTATTATTATTAACACTATTATCCTAACTATTTTTCTAATCAAAGTAGTTGTGGGAAAAACATTAATATAAGATATTTAGGAGCAGTCTCTTTCCTACTTTCTCCAAGACATATAAATTAAAACAAAAAGTTTGAAAATAAGACATTCCAAAGGAAGCTAAAGTTTCCTTTTCATCTAATACAGTAACTGAATATTACCTAAACAACTCCCTTGAAAGGATAGGTCTATTTAATTGTATCATGTAAAATTTTTCAAAATTTCTAAAAATACTTTCAACATACCTGTCTTAAGAAGTTAGTTTCATTTTCTTTCATGAAAAGTTCAATGTAAGACTTGATTTTACGTATCAAAAGACTGTAACTGAAGCTTTGGAGAAGAGGAACATATGGATCCTTGGTTTTAATGATGGTTGCCAGCTTCACCCTTAAAGGCTAAGAAAAGCACAGCCTTATACAACACAAATCCTGCAGCAAACTTGGTATCTGTGCTAAACAGGAAATACAGAAAGCTAAACGTGATGATTATACAGGCTCCTGAATATCCCTATACAACTTCCTGCTGCAGTTTGAAACTGCTCTGGAGTCAACCAGACATAATACCAGGTATTTGCCTTATGTGCTCAGTAAATGGCAAAGCACAACTGACCAGAGATCTACATTCTCATTTCCTTTAGGAATAACACTGAAAGCAGAGTTGTCAGTGGGGGAAACACACCCAGAAAAAGCCACCCATTACTCGGTTCTCCCTTCTCCTTTGCTGCCTCAAAAAGACTGCCATTGAAAGAGTTGTACAGTGCTCAGGAGAAGGATAACAGTACAGCAGCACTAAGGATACATCAATACTGATAATTAGAAATTCACATTTTGTCTACCAATGCCTCTGAATTTTACAGAAGCCAATATATCCAGAGAATTGTCTTCTATGTATAGGCTGCATTTTTATTTACGAATTTGAGTATTATTACCACAATATCCACTTTCCAAACATCCAAATCCTCTGAGTGGAAGTGTATCTGAAAAGTAAGTTATACACAGGCTACTACTTACATAGAACATGTGTCCTAATATACCAAAGATACAGGAAGCATTTTTAACTTATTTTCACCTACAGTCCTTCTGTTGCTCTTTTCTTCACTCCAGCAAATTCAAGTGTGCGTACTAACATATTAGAGACATATTCACTCAAACTTACAACTTGATGAGTGATGCAGTCAACTTCAAACCAGGAGATGGCCTAACACATATGTTGTCTTTTCCAGTCAGGGGCATAATAGCATTCAGTCTGTACTACAGAACCTAATGAGTTTTCCTTCCCTGGGATGCTTTGGTACATAGAACACTAATAGGAGGTGACAGAGTCCACTACAATAGAAATCAGAAAATTGGCTCAGTAGTCAGCACTATCAAATTGACAGAATTTGTAGTGCTATCTCACTCCTCATATGAAGTAGAAGAGGGGATGAAGAACAACTGCTGCTAAAAGCATTTTACTCCCACAGAAATCATCCAGTATTTCTATCAATCTGGCCACAAATTTCCTTTTGCATTTTAAAGTGACATAGGTATGAAAGTGACTGCACAGACAATAATGAAATTGAAGTTATGCAGGTAGGATTTGCTAACTTTGCAAATCAACTCCCCTCTTTCTCCTCCAAAAGTCAAGCACTTTTAATGCAATTTAAACAATTTACTACCTTATCTGATTCAGAGTCTGTGAACAACCTTTCAAGAACTTCAGCAGCTTCCTTGAAATATCTGTTTTCCATATGGACTGCTACAATCTACAAGAAATATAATTAAAAGATATGATAAATATTCCACCTGAGATTCAGAAAAAGCAAGAGCATTCACAATTCTACAGTTTTCTAAGACTCCAAAAATTCAGATTATTATATATTTAAGAGTTATTGATACTTATCTAATTCTAACAGTTAGTTCTGAAATTAGTTTTGAAATTTATTTCAATTGGTATCTTTTTCAGATTGGCAGCTTTTGAAACAAATTTGAACTGGTACAAACAGGAACCATATGAGATAGAAAAAGGTCCCCTATACAGACCTATACAGAAAATTCAGTTCAGTCTGAATAGTCTGCTAATAGCCCAAGATTTTTGTAAAGAGGGCTCTGTTTTAGTAAGGATAGGATAGAATTTTTAAGGTTGGAAAAGACCTTTAAGGTCATCAAGTCCAACAATCAGCCTAACACACACCACCAATTTTCACCATTAATCCACATCCTCAAGTGCCATATCCACATGTTTTTTTTCAAACCCTTCCAAGGATAGTGCCTCCACCACTTCCCTGGGCAGTCTGTTTCAATGTCATGAAACCCTTTGTGTGAAAAAGTTTTTTCTTATACCCAGTTTAAACCTCCCCTGGCACAACTTGAGGCCATTTCCTCTCATCCCGTCACCTGGGAGAAGAGACCAACCCCCACCTGGCTACAACCTCCTTTCAGGCAGTTGTAGAGAGTGACAAGGTCCCTCCTGAGCCTCCTTTTCTCCAGGCTAAACACTCCCAGCTCCCTCAGCTACTCCTAGTAATATTTGTGCTCCAGACCCTTCACCAGTTATGTTGCCCTTCTCTGGACACTCTCCAGCACTTCAAAGTCTTTCTTGTCCTGAGGGGCCCAGAACTGAACACAGGATTCAAGGTATGGCCTCATCAGTGCTGAGCATAGGGGACAATCACTGCCCTGGTCCTGATGGCCACAGTGTTCTGGATACAAGCCAGGATGCCACTGGCCTTCTTGGCCACCTGGGCACATGCTAGCTCTTGTTTAGCTGCTGTTGACCAGCACCTCTAGGTCCTTTCCCACCAGGCAGATTTCCAGCTACCCATTCCCAATGAGTAGGCAGCATCTTGAAGCATTATGAGTAAGTCACACAGACCTGAATTTGAATCAAGCGACGAATTTCTTCATGAAATTTTTCCAGTTTAATTTCTTCCCTTTCGAGTAAAGTCCAGAAAGACAGAGCAGATTCCAAAGGTGAAATTCTTGGATCATTTTCAAACTGTAATCCTTAGAGGGGAAAAAAATAAAATACTTATAAAGATTAAAGGATAAAGTTAAATAGATTACATTATTTATATGCAGTAAAATAATATGTATTACACAATTTCAGTTCCTTTTTCCTCAATTTTTAGGTGTTTAAGAAACCTGAAGCATCTGTCTTCTTTCCAGAGATTGGTTCTTCTTTCCCTTCCTAGTAATATTACTGCTGCATTTTCAGGGGGTATTATGTCAGCTAATTATTGATCACCTAAAATGCTACTTGCAATCAGGTATTTTGGTCTGGCATTAATAATGCATTAAACTTAGCATGAGATTTCACAACATTTGATATTGATACTATTAATTTCGTAATATAATTACCATACTAAGTAGTTTGGTTTTTTTTCTTCCTGTGTCTATCACTATTTCCATATCTTAACTTTCTGTTGTATTTGAAGTGCTTAAACCAAGAGGGAAACTCAAAAAGGTCTACACAGGAGTGTCACTGAAAAAGCAGAAGCAACCTCCCATGCCAAGGTTTGTGCCAACACCAAGGTTTGGGCAAAGTCCCAGCAAAGGATCACTGACCAGTTCTGGCAGAAATCTAGTCTAGACAAATATTCATCCCCTTAACACTCCCAAGCAGTTTCCCAGACTGGTCACTGCACACCTGCACAAGTGAGTGTGCCAATGTAACAGATGCAGGAGGAGCTGGCAGGTGCACAAGTGCTTTTTTCCCATGGCACTGCCAGCTTAATTCAAGATGTTCACTGAACTACAGCCTCACTTGTGCCTTCATTTTATTGTATCAGTAGAATCTCTATTAATAACTTACTCCTTTCATTAAGTACTTTTTCAGACAGAAGGTAAACAACTTACACAACACTGAAGAGAGAAAAATTATTTTATAGCCACTACAATGTCAAACAGTGAAATTTCAAACATAATTATGTGCATATATACACACATAATGAAAACAAAATCATGTGTTTCTCTAATTATTGTCTAAATCAAGTAACATGACACTTTATATTGCTTATTTTAATAGTGTAAAACCAAAGTGTTTAGCTCCTAGAAATCTTAAACAGCCCACTCTATATGATCAGTACAGATCAAATATTTTAATTCCTAGCAAAATAGGAAAGCTACCATATAATAGCTTCCCACATACATTGTGTAGTTACAGCTGATGTAAGACCTACTACACACATGCAATCTTCCTCACCACACACATCATTCTCTACTGACAAGACAAAAACACACAATGAAGTAATATTCTCAAATGTTACATACAATAATATAATTTGGAGCATTAGGACAAAAATTTCCTTATTTTTATACTATTTAAAATATTAGAATTTGACTCCCAAGCTAAACTAAAACAGGATGACATAATACCTGATAAGCAACAGAGGAAATTTAATTGTATGAAAACAACACTTTGTGGCATTGCTAGGCTAGAATACACTTTTTTATTCCATGCTCATGCTTTCAAGACTGCTTCTGAAGACTTTAAATTCCAGAGTTTTATCAAACAGTGAAAAAAAAAAAGAAGTTAGTCTTCCAGAAGCTCAAACAAAATCATCTTGGCTAAACCAACAAGTTACAAATGCAGCCAAACAGAAGATATGGTAGTGAATAAGAGCCCTGAGGACTTGCAGCCAGCTGAGAATCTTAAAGTCTTCTATAGGAAATATGGACAGTCACCCTTTTCATCCATCTTCTCATTCCTGCTTCTGTCCTACTTTAATCTCTAGAGTTAAATGTGCAGAAAAGAACACATATCCTGAGTTTTAAACTTGCAAGTATTGCTCAGTAAGAGCTATTCAGTCCTTTCCAGTATATTTCTTTTGTTGATACTACTCTGACAAAAAAATATCAATTTAAGAAGTATATGGTCATTCAAACTCCATGCAGCTAAGTCAGTCAGCACAGAGTAACACCAGTCCTGCAGACAGTTCACATGTGTAATAAAGACAGTCCAAAATGTGAAATTTATTCAATTTATATATAGCTGTATCTATAGATAAAAACATACACAGATCTGCAGAGTAAGGGCTTTATAAAAGCATATCTAATACACTTCTGTAGAAATTTATACAACTATTTTTAAACAAGTGAAACAAAAACCTGAGTACTCACCAAGATTTTTCCCTTGTGCAATTCTTATCAAAAGCTGGCAGAGATATACTGTTTTTTTCTGATGTGGGGGTATTTGGGAGAAACCATTAATAAGAGCTGAAAAAGAAGAGAAAAGTCAGTCTTGCTCCAGCACTGCCACAGTGTGGCTAGATATATATTTGACACTGTGTTATCAGATTTCACTAAATTTCTAACTCCTTAAGAAACCAATGAAGCACACTTAATTAGCATTCTTCCCTGCTAAAATAATATTTAAGAGCTTGAGCAAAAGAGGATATCTTCTTCTGAAGAAACAGTAGAATTAACCACAGGCTTAAATTCATCCAATTCAAAGACCATAGAATCAAATTTAGGTTTTTTTTTTTTGGTAAGTAGGGTACTACAAAAGACAGCTGTCTGCTCCAAAGAACAATTCCAGGGAAGTGTGGGCATTCACTTCTAAGGAATGCCCACAGACAGACTGCTAACGCTTACATGTTACTATAGCAACTTACAGAACTAAGGCAGTAAAAGCAACATGGAAAGCTTACTCAGAAATGTAAATTCACAAGGAGGGTTTTCCTTGCGAAGCTGGAAGGTCACAAGGATTACCACATATTTTAAAATGGGAGCTATCATGAGTTTTTTCCCATCATTCAGGTTACTATGAATTTCTTATGCTAATGTGCTGGATATAGTAATTCATCTTCACAGCATAATACAGAACCATTCAAAATGAAAAGTGAATCACAAAATAGTTGGGGTTTAAAGGAGCTGCTGAGAACCACTGCCTTCCTAGGTTTCTGCACTTGCTTCAGCTTGAATTGACTTTCCTGTTGACAGCCAATCATTATTTCTGTAGGGTCTCCCTTTGACATATGCAAGAGTAATAGTTCTGTGTTTCTATGAAAAAAAACATGCCTAATTTTCTATTTTCTATTATCTTCTTATGACTGTGTTTAGCTTTTCCCAAAGGCTTTTACAATATTGACTTTATAATCTTAGAGTGCTAAACTCTTTCCTCTGTTGTTGAACAGAGTAGGAACAAGTTCAAAATTTGCTATTATTTCCTATTTCCTTATGGCCTGGAATTCTCTACAATTTAATCAATAGTTTCCACTAATACACTTAGTCTTCCCAGAAGATATTCTCAATGTGCTTTTGCATTGAGTGTCTCTGCTTCCCACCTACATGAAACTTCAGTACAATTTTCCTACTGAGTTGCAGTCCAAAGGCCACACATCGAAAGGCAATATAAATAATCTAATATAGCAGCCCCCCATTCAAAGTACTTTATTAAGTTACTGTTAGATTTTTTACCATAGTCCATAGAAATCGACTTAGTAATCATTCTGCATGCCATTGTATTTCACTCTTTGCAGAAGTTTAAACAAGTCATACTACTACGTTCACTTGAGTCAAGAACATACACAAAGAAAAAATATCCTCCAAACCTCTAACCTGGTATCCCCAGAAAACTGCTTCTTACAGAAGAAAACACCATAAATCCATCAAATTTATCTGAGACTTAGACATTTACTTCTAGTTGCCAACCACTCTTACTCTAAAGATCGTGTCTCATTTTAAATGTATGTTTTCCCATTCAAAATCCAGTCACCAGTCTTCATTTCATCTCATCTCACCTCTGTCTGCCAGACTATAGTTCTCTGAAATATTTCTAGCACTGCTGTATTGCTGCCGTGTGCGAGTACCACCCAAGCCCTCCGGAGGCCCCCGAAGGGATTTGAGCACCACGCCCAGCGCTGCTGCCACGGTGGTGATCGGGCTACGAGCGCCTCAGCGCAGCCACGGTGGTGATCGGGCTACGAGCGCCTCAGCGCTGCCACGGTGGTGATCGGGNGCCACGGTGGTGATCGGGCTACGAGCGCCTCAGCGCTGCCACGGTGGTGATCGGGCTACGAGCGCCTCAGCGCAGCCACGCCCTCAGGGCCGGGGGCTGCTGCCCCTCCGGGCTCGCTGCCCCGGGAGCGGCTCACCCTGCGCAACGTCCCTCCAGCGCCAGAACTGCGGCCCGCTCTGCTCCGCGAAGTGCCGGCACAGGGAGGAGCAGGCGAACTCCAGCATCCACTCCGTGGCCACGGCCTCCACCACCTCCGGCGGGGCCGAATCCACGGAGCTACCGCTGCCGTCCGCCGCCCCCAGCGAGCCTCGGGCCGCCGTCGCCATCTTCAAACGCCGCGCCAACGGCTGTCAGCCCCCATCTTCGCCGCGCCGCAGCCAATCAGCGCGATCGCCGTGCCCCGCTCCGCTCTGCATCCAATCAGCAAGGCAGCTCCACCCGACCCCGCCCCGCTCACCGGGTCCCAACCAATCAGCGCGGCCGCCGGTGTGCCGTTCCCGCCGCTTGGTTTGGTGTCGTTTGGCCCGTGGCGGCGGCGCGGGAGCGCTGGGAGCCGCCGTGTCCCTCCCTCCCTTCCGCGGGAGCGCTGGCCCGGCTGCGGCGCTGGGAGCCGCCGTGTCCCTCCCTCCCTTCCGCGGGAGCGCTGGCCCGGCTGCGGCGCTGGGAGCTGCCGTGTCCCTCCCTTCCCGCGGGAGCTGAAGGGGAAACGTGGGCGCTTTCTTGCATGTGTGATGCGAATGGCTTCGCTAAGCTCATCTTTATGTGGGCTCTGAAGAGAGGAGGCTGTGGAAGGGAGGGAGGAAGGGAGGGAGGGCGGACATACCAGAACCTGGAAAAACTGAAAAATGGGAGCTTGGACTTGGCAACGAAGCCCTGGATGGAATGTGAGGAGGGGCGGTGTTAGCTGGGGTGTGTCTATCTGAGAAGGCAACTGTAAAACCCAGGGAGGAAGAAGCTAATCTGCGAAGGGCTGAACATAATGCAAGTGCTGAAGGGCAGAACAGTTTTCCTCTCTGAGATGTGGTGGAGGGTGAAGTGATATTCTGGTAGATCTGGTGAAAAGGTTTAATTAGAGCAGAACAGTTTTCCTCTCCGAGATGTGATGGAGGGTGAAGTGATATTCTGGGAGATCTGGTGAAAAGGTTTAATTAGAGCTTTATTTCGCTCCAGGGAGGAACAGGGTGGTATCAGAGAGCAGGAGGGATCAGCTGATGGGCCTTACCTCCTTTGACTGCTGTGCTCACGATAAATTGCACCCACAGCAATCTTGCTGCACCATTAATACATTGAGGTCAAAGAGACGACAAGACACATAATTTAACTTAAAAGAATCTTCTCTTTAGACAGCTGTATTTATTAATGCAAGTGCAAGACTTAGGTTTGCACTTTGGAAGAGATTGTGACAACTTCTTAATGCAGATAATCTCAGGAATGAAAATTCTTAGTGTTTGACATGAACCAGGTGGACAAAAAAATGAGATTATTATGCATTAATGGTTAATTAAGCAGATATTTTATAAGTTTTATATTAGAAACTGACAGGAAGGTGGATCAGAGCTTGAAATTACCACGATGAACAACAGGACCAGGTTGCCGAGTATAAGCTCTGCTCAGTACTAGCAAAATTATGTTTGTTTTTATCTGTGTGTTCAGCACAAATCCAAAACACAGCTCTTCACTGAGCCCCTGTGAGGAAAATTTACTCTGGCCCAGCCAAAACCAGCACAACACCCAGCCCTGTGTGTCTTTGAGGAATCCATTTGCCCATGGTATGTGGGCAAATGGATTTCAGGTATTGCCTATCTCTTTCCCTTAACACTAGGGAGAGCCTGAAGTATTTTAGAAAAGATGCCTATCTTGTAGGTATTTTGAGGGCAGATGACTTTTGTGCTGGGTGAGCTTGCAGCAGCATGAGAAATGGTACTTTAGTGTGGCAAAAAGCATGTTTTTATTCTTATGAATGAGGTGGAAAATCACAGTAGGTCAGTTAAATTCCTAAGCCTGTTTTTTCTTTCTCTTGCAGGTGTTTCTACCAGTTCTGTCTGTGATGGTGACAATATTTTCTTCCTAATTTTAGCTCCTGTAGCTAAACCTGCACCATGTTTATGCTTTCTTCTTTATGCTGAGAAGTCTTATTGTTTGTCTGCCTTTTATACATTTTAAATTGCATTTCTTGATTAAACTGCTAACTACTTAGAGCTCCTGCTAGAAATCTCTCCTGCTGATGGATCTGCAGAGGGCAGATGTGAATAGTGTTTAATCCCAGTATAACTAAGAGCCAACAGAGGATTTTGTTGAACTGAGAGCATAAAAGGTACAAGTTACATGTGATATACATGTACATGTATTGCATGCCTTTATATGTGTATAAATATATATTTATAAAAGTATAGGCATTAGCATAAGGAGTTAGTATGTATATATTTTTTCTCTATGTATACATATCTATACATAAATGTATATGCATGGCAATTTAGTAAGTGCAGAGTCTCACCTAAACTTGTAAAATCTGAAAAATACTCTCTTGCCCTAAAGACAGTTAAAATAACAAATAAGACCAAATTACAACACAAGTAATTATCAGTATTATCATATAATAAATTAGTAAATACATACTTAACAGCATCATTATGTAAATATGCTTTTGGTCTCCAGACTCAATCAATGTGTATTATTCTTGGTTTGTAGTTGCTCATTTATTAGAACTTCCAGTTTAAAAGGCTTTAGTCTTCATCTGCTAATTTTTTTTTGTTTGAATTTATTTTTAATAAGAATCTTTAAGAAGCATAATAAAATGGACAGATCTTTTTTATCCCCCCCAAAACTGTGCATTTTATCTATTTTAGAACAACACATACAAATTCATGATGAAATCTTACACTATTTTCTTCATTTTCTTTTTGGTTGCTTTATTCTTTATTGTCTTATTGGTGTTATTGGGAAGTAGGAGGCCCCTTCCTTGCTTTTTATATTTTGTTTATGAAAGCAAAATTCATTATTTTTTCTTTTGATAAATAGTCCATATTAAGTTCATACAATATTTAATCTTAAAAGAAAAGAACCATTGCACAAGAAACATCACATACTTAGGTGATTAATTGAGGTGGTGTGTCTTCAATTTGATATTTGTTCATTATCTGTTCCCCCCCCTATCCCTAATGTCCTATCCCCAGCTGTTAATCTTCCCTACCTCTTCCTTAACCCCCTCCTCTCCAAGGTGTCAATCCTCCCTTTCCCTACCCCTGTCCCTGGAACCTTCCCTGTCATTCCTCCTAGCCCCCTCCTCTGCTTCCAGAGCATTCCCTGTCTGTTTAGTGAGGCTCAACACCCTATTGCTTATTTTGTGTTATTCCACTCCCCTGCTTCCCCTGATAAGTTTGTGGTATGTTAGTTCTGCCCTAAACTCCTGCCCTGCTATTCCCTCATTGGTTGCTGTTCCTACACCCATCTCCCTGAGTTCTTGTATAAAACCTCTGCCCCCGCTCCCGAGGGGGTCTTGGGGCTCACTGAATAAAACCATCCTGTTCACCCCCAAGTCCCGTGTCGCCTTCGTCTGTTCCCGTGCCACCGACTGGGACAGCAGAGCTTCGCAGGGGGAGCGGCCGCCCGTTCTCTTCCCTCACCACCCAGCACGGCACCGCTCGGGGTGCCGCGATACAACAATTAATATATGCTAGTGTGAGAACTCAAAATGTCTCTCAGACATTTTTAGAGGTTCCAGGCCTTGGTCAGAGGCATTCTAGACCCCAACAGGCAGCTGAAAAACAGCTGTGATTTTGAGTTTGAGCCATGGAATGAATTACCAGCTTTGAAGGTGGAACAAGCAGTCACAAAAGGTTAGATAGTATAGTAATAGTAGTTACAAAACAGAGGGGAAATTTTTTTAGTATTGTACAGGGGGGTTTTAGCACATGTACAGGGGGGTTTTTACTTTGTACATGGGGGTCAGAAGTTCTAAGATGGAGGAAAGTGGGCTCATCCTGTCCTTCCTCCTTCTTCTTCCTTGCCTCCATGTTCTTGGTGATGTTGGCACTCACAGATTGGTTTAGAGTAGAAAAGCACTTTGTAATATAGGTAGTAGGTATTGGGGGAAAACTATAAACATGTAATATGTAATATATCATATAAAAGATAGCAGCAGCCCTGGGCGGGGGGAGAGAAGAAGAAGACAGCAGATAGAGAGGATGTCAGGGTGTGTGTGTGCCTCTGCCCAGGCTGCTGACCAAGCAGCTGCAGCCTGAGAACATAATCTGTTAGATAACTAACAATAAATCGTCTTGAGACCGAACAACAAGAGACTGTGGAGTTTTTCTTTGGAATCACAGGTTGGAGGAGAAATTCCACCACCACATGGGAACCCAGAATAAGGCTGGGGTTCCCACATGCTAGTATTTTTATAACTGCAATAGAATTACATATGTAAAGCAATTTTTCAAATTTTTCAATGAAAGCTCAGCAATACAACCAGTAGATGGCCCCAGCCTAATATCTTCTTTGCACAGTGGTGCTCTGGTTTGCTGGATGAGTGGAAAAGTTCTTGCTAGAATACTCAATGCACTGATGTATAAAAAAATAGGGATCAGAATGATGGATAAATATTTTATTCATAGCTGCCCAAATTATAGGGTACCCTTCCATACAGCTGGGAACCAACTGAATGTCAAACTGAAAAATTAAGGAGATTTGACTTAACACAAATGAAAACAAGTGTGAAGAAAGTGCCTTTTCTCACACGTGGTAAGACACACAGAATGAAAATTTGAAGTAAAATTTAGAACATTTAAAATGCTGTAGGGAGTAAAGTCTGTTTAAGTGAGAAGCTGAGCTGGAGATTGGATCCTGCTGAAAGCAAGACAAGAATCAATCTGTAATTTCACTCAGTATTGCTATTGGACAAAGCATTTCTCTTGCTATTTAAATTTTAAAAATCACAGGAGGCAATGAAGTTTTCTTTTGGTAATATTTTAAGAATTGAATTCTACTGAGTCATAAAAGGAAAGAAGGATTTTTACTGTCAGCAAAGCACCAACCAGGGATTTATAAATGCGGGTGGTGCCTGGCAGTGCCACAGATTTTCAACTAATCTTTATCAAATAATTTATTAAACCCATATTTTGTTATGGAAATGAAAGTAAAATTTATAGGGAACAAAAGGTGTATGTGACAATAATATTGTGCTGTAGCCCAGATGGTTAGAAAAAGCAAGCATCAGGGGGAAGATGCTCAATTTGATGTGTAATTTTTTATCTCTTGTTTATGCACTAATTCCGTGAATTGTTGAGTACCTAGTGAACACATATGTCAGGATATGTTTGGGTAATTGGAACATATATCTATCCGTTAAAAATACAAAGTTTGAAGTTAGAGATTCAGCAGTTTCAACATATGAGGGAACTAGAAAGTCCCAATAAAATGT